TCAGCTCCGGCATCTCGTGAGCGGAGCTCCGCGGCCAGGACTCTCCCTGGTGTGGGGGGTGCCTGCCCACGGGAGGGGGGGGTCAGTGCGGGCGGCCCCCCCCCCCCCCCCCCGCCACCCACACACACCCGCTGCCCGCCGCCGGCACCCTCCTCTCACACTCTCCCCACCCGCAGCCCACCCGCCGTCCCACACCCACCCGCTCGTGCCCCTGCCACCTGTCAGCACGCCCGCACCGCCCATCACAGCGTCCTCCTCCCCCCGGCCCCCGCGACGCGCCCCGCGGCCCCCCGGCCCACCCCCCCCCCCCCCCGCCCCCCCCCCCCCCCCCCCCCGCTCGCTTGTCCGCTTCCCAACCAGCCGCCGCGTCCGCTAACTCTCCGCCGTGCACCCATCCGCCAATGTTCCATCCGCCTGCCCTGTCGCCCCGCCCCGCCCCGCCGTCCCGCAACCACCTGTGCACGTACCCGAGTGCCCACCGCCCACGTGTGGGAGGGCGAGAAGGAGAACACTGTCCGTGACTCCTGCACCGAGGGGGAGGGCCCGGGGGCACCCAAAGTAACTGTGAGCAGCTTCCTGGGCCAAGGCAGCTGGCAGAGACCCCACCACGCCCCTTCCACCGCCCACTGCTCCCAGGGGCCCCGGGCCAGCGGAAGGCTGGCTGCTCTCGCCCCAACCCGACATGCTCGCTCCTGGGTTTCTCCGGGTTCTCAGACGCTCGCCGCCTTCTAACACGCCAGACCCACCTGCTAAAACGTCCCTATACCTACTGTGTGTCCAACCCCCCCAGGCCCGGCTCCCGTCTCCCCTCCTACAGGAGGGCCCTGCCATCTCTTTGCCGCCCCTGGGTGTTTCGCTCGTCTCGGAGCACACACCCCAAGCGGCAGTCCCCAGCGCCGCCCCCGTTAGGCCCTGAGCTAAGGAGAAAGATGGCTTGACCCGTGGCAGATGTTCCGTGAGGGATCAGAGCCGGAGGAGCCAGAGAGGGGAAAACAGAGGGAGGAGAGACGGGCCGGAAGACCGGAGAGAAAACCAACAGCGACCCGGCGTTCACGGTCTATACCCTACTTGATTCCAGCCTCACAAGCCTGTGAGGTAGCAACCCCATTTTACAGATGAGGGAACTGAGGCTCAGCGGGCACAAGCAGCGGTCTCGCGATTCACAGCTATGGTAGAGCCGGACTCCATCAAACTTCCGCATTAAAGATGTTTGCTCCGTGTTCTGTTCCCCTCGGAGCGCTCGTGGATGCTCAGACATTCCTGTCATCCTTCAGGGTCAGACGGGCCCTTTGTAGCAAGCCCCCCGGAGGTGGGAATTCCTGCTGAGGCCAAGCCCCCTGCTTGCACACCTCTTAAGACAGGCAGCTCATTACTCCTCCTGCATCCCCAAAGCAGCTCTATTGGGACAGTCTTCCTCATGACAAAGGCCGGAAGGGAACAAGCAAAGGTGAGGATGGTTGTGCCCATTAGGGGGTGGGGGACGGTTGTGGGTTTTGTTCTGTGTTTTTGCTTTGACTTTTTGGTTTTTTCTTTTTTAATTAAAAAAAAAATTTTTTTAACGTTTATTTTTGAGACAGAGAGAGACAGAGCATGAACGGGGGAGGGGCAGAGAGAGAGGGAGACACAGAATCCGAAACGGGCTCCAGGCTCCGAGCCGTCAGCACAGGGCCCGACGCGGGGCTCGAATGCACAAACCGTGAGATCGTGACCTGAGCCGAAGTCGGATGCTTAACCGACTGAGCCACCCAGGCGCCCCTGACTTTTTGTTTTCAATATTTTTTAATGCTAGTGCTTTGCTAATTTTACCGTATTTTAAAAAGGGTACGAAATATTTGGCAAACATTCTGGAACCATTTGGCCTCAGGAAAAACATTTGTTTTGGCCCCAGTCACCGAAATAGTTGCATTCTTTGGAAGTAAATGCTGCCAAGATTATAGGTGTTTGGATTTTTTAAAAAAAAAATCTAGAGGCAAATATTTGATGTGCAGAAAGATTTGATTGTTTTTCTAAATGAATATTTAAAAGTGATCGTGGCTGCTCTTACCGTTGCCAACAGGCAGAACCCCGGAGAATTTGCTGGAACAGAGAAGTGATCATGCATTCCGAAGGAAAAAGGAAGGCCATGACCCCTGCCCTTCCTTGAGTTAAAATCAGGCTCCTTGTCTCCTGGATCCAGAGGCCAAATCACTGAGGACGGGGCCCCTCCTTTCCTCTTCGGCTCCCGGGAGGGGGTTGGGGCCCAGAGTCATTTACAGCGGAGAGCAGGGATTCTGTCCTCCCCCATGCCTGAGGAGGTCCCCCCACCGCCACTCCAGGCCACCATGACCTTCTCTTCCCTTCTCTCAGTCCCTTTACTTTTTGGCTAGTCATCAGCCAGTGCAGGCAAAAGAGCACCTTATGCTGTAGATTGCAGAATCCCACGGCAAAATGTCAACGAGGCCCAATCAGATGACATCAGTGGGTGAAGCAGCCAGAAAGGGCCATTCTTCAGCTCTGGCCAACTGTTGCCATGGAAAATGGGCCCTCAGATTTTCCAAAAAGTTTAGAGACAATGAAAATCAGAATTTCGTAATAAAATCTCCTGGCTTTAAATAATGACCATGGACGCTTTTAAAACCATCTGTGGGCCAAGCGGCATCTCTCAGGCTGGACTCGGTCCCCACGCACAGGAGGCCATTTCTGACCTCTGACTATTTCCCCGCCTGCATTTTCGTTCCAGGCTCTGTTCCGTGGCTTTACATTCTGGTCCCTAGGCCCGGTGCCCTTCCCTGCTGTTCTCTGGCTATTGAGTGCCCCATTTGTCTTTCAAAGGCTCGGCCACCCCCCCCCCCCCCAGAATTCCATGACCTTATAGGCACAGGCCTCGCTCCCTCCTCTGTGTTCCCACAACACAGCGCAGATCTCTTCTCCCTGGGCTTGTCACTTCGTGTTAATGAGGGTCTCCCCGGCTAACCTGGGGACTCAGTGCAGGCGGGGACCGGGGCTGCTGTCATCCTGGAGCCTTTGGCCGCCAGCACCTGGCCAGGCACAGAGCTAGTCCTGAGCTGACTTTTTATAACAAACGAAGAAACCATGCGGGACGAGGATGGAGCGATTCTTAAGCTTGGAGAAAGAGCTCTGCCTGCTGCTCCTATTCGGAGATGCTGTACGTTACGAGAGGCTCTTTGGTCAGTCTCTCCTTTTTTGGACCCAGGCTGAAGGGGAAAGACTATACTTGCAGTCTGGCAGTCAAAGGTTCAAATCAATGGGGCGCCCGGGTGGCTCAGTCGGTTGAGCATCTGACCCTTGATTTCAGCTCGGGTCACGATCTCACGGCTGTGAGATTCAGCTCCATGTCAGGTGCACACTGAGCGTGGAGCCTGCTTAAGATTTTCTCTCTCCCCATCTCTCTGTCCCCCATGCGTATGCTTTCTCTCTCTCAAAATAAAGATTTTTTTGTTGTTGTTCAAATCCAGGCTCCACTGCTTTCAAGCTGTGTCAGCTTTTTTTTTTTTTCCAAGCTGTGTGACTTTTGACAAGTGCCTTCTCTCTGAGCCCGAAACGGATGTGGGTTACAAAGGGGTCAGCAGGCCCAGCGGGCCCCCTTGCTAGAAGTCCTTCATTATCTGACTTCAGACAGATGTGGAAATAGCAAAATACCAGCACTAGAGAGGATCTGGATTCAACCACCTCTCTTCACAGATGGGGGAGCCAAGGCTCCAGGGGGCGGTGGGGGGCAGGGGGGGGGGGAAGAGATCTGTCCAAGGTGCCACTCAGAGGGTTGATAGCAGGTACTGTGTTTTAAATTCCCTTGGAAGCTCCCAGGCTTAGCAGAGTATTTGGCCCAGATGAACATGAACATATTTAATGTCCTGTCTCTTCGGTCCTAACTTCTCCATCATTCAGTGGAAAATCATTGTCACGAACTCCCTCAAGGCACCTAGATCCCAGGGGATCAGCTCTTAGCTCTGCTGAATTGTGTGCAGTCACATCCTCTGTTCTGGAACGGATTCATTGAGTTGGAAGGGCCCTTTAAAGCCAAGAATGCCGATGCCACCACACAGGTGTCAAAAGGGAAAGGGGGGCACTTATAGGGGATGTAACTTGTCCAAGGTGCTCTGAAGCTGGTAGAGGAATCGATGACGGTGGGCACGTGGCTGGGATTGGCGTTTCTGACCCCACAGCAGCCCAGCCCAGAAGAAACAGACGAACGCCAACACCCCCGCCCCTTCCCATCAATCCCCCCACATGCGCTCTCCAAGGTGCTGAAAGCCTCTCTTCAAGACTCCTGGCCCCACCCACAGCCTAACCTCGAACTCTTTCCTCTAGAAAGAGATGGGATTAGGGGAGTGATGAAGAAATGAATCAAGGTTGGCACTGAGGTGTCTGGCTTTGGGGGCCCTTCAGCTAGTGACGCTATCATCCCTTTGCCGTTCCTAAAATGTCACCACCTTGGCGAGGGCACTATGACTGCCTCTCCAAGCCAACCCTGCTCCATAAATCTGTATCCTGAGGGCACTTCAGAGACTCTGGCATATTTGGTAATATCCATTTACTTGATTCCTCCCAGTTTCCCCTACGAGGCTCTATGTGACATGAGGACACAGACTAGCTCTGCTGTTCTTACTACTGTGTCCCCAGCACCTAGCCCAATTCCAGGGACGGGATTGATAATGCAGATCTGGGGGGAAGAGCAGGTGTGTGAGAGATCCATGTGGAGGGGAGGCTGGATTTTGTCTGCCTTGGGGGCAGCTTGCCTTAGGAGCCCAAATGGGGGCCTCATCCTTATCCTCGCTGGAGTCCATCTTCTTTTTTTACATATAAAGGTATTTTTTTTCTTTGGGTATTTATTTATTTTGAGAGAGAGAGAGAGAGAGAGAGAGAGAGAGAGAGAGAGCATGTGCACAAGCAGGAGAGGAGCAGGGAGAGAGAGGGATAGAGACAATCCCAAGCAGGCTCTGTGCTGTCCGTGCAGAGCCTGATGCAGGGCTCAAACCCACGAACAGTGAGATCATGACCTGAGCTGCAATCAAGAGTTGGATGCTTAGCCAACTGAGCCACCCTACCCCTGGAGTCCATCTTC